AAAAAACATGGTTTTTGAGCAACAGTGGCACTTGCGGAGACTTGAGTAAGGAAACATTTTAACCCACTTCCCTACTCCTGTTTTGGGACCCTTTCCATCAGTTCTGGGGCCCTTTCCATCTGCACTACGGTCATTGCCACTGGTCCTGGGGCCCTTGCCACTGGTCCCTTACCACTGGTCTTGGGGGCCTTTCCAGTAGTCCCAGGACCCTTCCCACGGGTTCTAGGGCCTTTCTCTCTAAGCCCTGGGCTCTTTCCTGTGGACCCACTGATCCTGGAGCCCTTTACTCCCGTTGGGGGGGGGGGGTCCTTTATTATTGTAAACATCTCTGTTTCTAATTTCAGCTTTCTTCAAGGAAAGTTTTCCTTTTCCATCAGTCCTGTTGCCCTTTCCATCGGCACTGGGGCCCTTGCCTCTGGCCCCTTCCCACTGGTCCTGGGGCCCTTTCCTGTGGACTGGGGGTTCTTCCCACTAATCCTGAAGCCCTTCACTCCCATTGTGGGGTCCTTTATCATGGCAAACATCTCCATTTCTAATTTCAACTTTCCTGAAGGATAATGCTGGAATTAGCAATGGCGGCACACGTGGGGACCATAGTAAGAAAGCAGTTTAACCTGCTCCCCTGCTCCTGTCTTGGGAACTTTTCCATCAGTCCTGGGGCCCTTTTCATTGGCACTGGGGCCCTTGCCTCTGGTCCCTTTTCACTGGTCCTGGGACCCTTTCTAATGGTCTTGAGGCACTTCCCCTCCCACCCCCCGAGCCCTGGGGCCTTCCCTGCATACCCATTGTCCTTCCCACTGGTCCTGGGGCTCTTTAATCCCATCATGCAGCATTACCCTTTCACATGTTCTGCAGTGGCCCCTCCCATGGTGGCAGAACACCAGGGCCCAGTTGCATGTGTGACCTTAGCTATTCTGGTAGTTCCGCCACTGGAACAACGTAAGCCGTGTTTGCGGCCATTCCTCATGCACCATTGTGTCATTTCATGACGTGAAAGTCACTGGGTGGGCAGCAGACCGCTACGCATTTCAGGGGTCCCCCCCCTTTGTCAAGTTTGACTTTCCCAACTATTGCTGCATATGGCACCCTCACGTTCCAATCTTTGAAATAATCACCCATTTTTGTGTCTTCGGGTTCCAGAAGCATCCTCTGCACCTTGCTGTGGTCTCTCTGCCGCCATGTTTGGTCCTATCAGTGATGGTGATCGGCCTGGCCGTGAAATGTGAGTGATGTCAGAAATGTGGTGGACCAATAAAATTCCTTCTAGTTCAACCCAATCAGAAGAGTTTCCTAACACGCTCTACACAACATAGACATCGAACGTTCCTTCACCAGGCTGTACCGTGTGGTGAGAGGCCAGAAGAGGACCGTGCTGGGTGCTGCCCTGCAGTCCTGGATTTCGTTCACCAACTTATGGCATTGACACGCGTACCCCCTTTCCCACCCATGAGGAAACAGAACATCCGGTCCACGTGTAGAGTAACGATGAGTCCATACATGACCAGACTGTCATCGCTGGCCTCTATAGGACTCCCTCAGACCAGAAGGCTTCATCTCTTTGCACCATCCACTACACCAGTGATGGCCAACTTTCTGGATATAAAGGTGTGGGGGGCCCCAAGCGCAGCCCCCATCATCATCAAAGGTCCACACATAAAATTCAACACACAAACTCTGAGAACTTTGTCCCATTGTTAATTGAGTCACCTATTGTTTCTGTCTGTTGGCTGGTCCTCCTGAAGGTTCTTACATGATGGGATTAGTCTGGTGTCAACTTTACCTTGTTACCTAATCAGTGTGGGATGTTTTTATCCCAATGTGTAGTATTTGTTTTTATTGATCCTGTGGGGGCTTCCCCTATATCTGAAGTGATAGACTCAATTGGGACAGGGTCTTTTGGAGGGGGACTGCAGGCTAGCCTCTTGCCTACTGACTATGGGCCTTGCCATTTGAGGGGGCTCTTTTTTTTGGGAGGTGTGTGCCTGGGGGGGACCTTTTGGAGTAGTTTTACTTTGGATTCCAGGCCATGTCTCTCCAAAACACAGACTCTGAGAACTTTGTCCCATTGTTAATTGAGTAAATTGAGTCACCAATTGTTTCTGTCTGTTGGCTGGTCCTCCTGAAGGTTCCTACATGATGGGGTTAGTCTGGTGTCAACTTTACCTTGTTACCTAATCAGTGTGGGATGTTTATCCCAATGTGTAGTATTTGCTTTTATTGATCATGTGGGGACTTCCCCTATATCTGAAGTGACAGACTCACCTGGGACAGGGTCTTTTGGATGGGTACTGCAGGCTAGCCTCTTGGCTACTGAATATGAGCCCTGGCGTTTGAGGAGGCTGTATTTTTTGGGAGTTGTGTGCCTGGGGGGACCTTTTGGATTAGTTTTCAAGTCCATGTCTCCCCAAAACACACAGACTCTGAGAACTTTGTCCCATTGTTAATTGTGTCACCTATTGTTTCTGTCTGTTGGCTGGTCCTCCTGAAGGTTCCTACATGATGGGATTAGTCTGGTATCAACTTTACCTTGTTATCTAATCAGCGTGGGATGTTTATCCCAATGTGTAGTATTTGTTTTTATTGATCCTGTGGGGGCTTCCCCTATATCTGAAGTGATAGACTCAATTGGGACAGGGTCTTTTGGATGGGGACTGCAGGCTCGCCTCTTACCTATTGACTATGGGCCCGGGCATTTGAGGGGGCTCTATTCTTTGGGACGTGTGTGCCTAGGGGGACCTTTTGGAGTAGTTTTCAAGTCCATTTCTCCCTGAAGCACACAACTCTGAGAACTGGAGGACCTGGATACAGTCTTGGGTTAGTTTTGGAGTAGTTTTACTTTTGATTCGAGTCCATGTCTCCCCAAAACACACAGACTCTGAGAACGTTGTCCCATTGTTAATGGAGTTAATTGAGTCACCTATTTCTGTCTGTTGGCTGATCCTCCTGGAGGTTCCTACAGATGGAGGTTCCTACATGTTGAGATTAGTCTGGTATCAACTTCACTTTGTGATATAATCAGCGTGCAATGTTTCTCCTGATATGTAATATTTGTTTTTATTGTTCATGTGGGGACTGCCCCCTATTTCTGAAGTGTATAAAACCTGTATTTCTGTTCAGTAAAGTGTTCCTTGTTGCCCCAAAGCTCGTGTCGTCTAATTCTTGGGTGCAATGCCCAGCTATAATATCATAGTCCTGTGTCCCAGCGGCGAGGAAGCGGTTCTCTGATGGAAGTGCCCAGGGGGGTGCCAGGCGGTCCATCACAAAACCCGTTTCTCTCATTGGGGGGTTGCCACAATTAATGACCCCACCTGCTCCTAGCTTTAGAGGGGAACTTTTTTTAAGGCTAATTTTGCCATCAGTGGAATTAGAAGCCAAGACCGCCCACTCGTACTGATGACATCACCAGCCTGAACAGTACTGTGAATCTAACAAACGGGAGCTTGCTGATTGGAGGAGAGAGCACGGAGGTGACCTGATCAGCAAGCCACCGCCTCTTCTCTACTCAAAGCCGTGACCGAAATGTATTGAATTTACTGCAGTGAGAAGAGCGATTGGTCAGAACCCGGCTATGGTGACCAGATGTTGTGTCTGGATTTACAAGATGGCTACAAGGGGATTACAGAGAGTCCTCACACAGTATATAAAGTACAGTCGCTGCAGGTTACTGGCGTGACTTCCGAAGATGGCAATTACAGTAACATCACATAGACGCACTGTCTGGGGTGTCACTGCACAGCACTTTGTCAATCACGTATAGTGGACGATCTGCAGCAGTCACATGTGAAAGCAGCTTACAACGCTTCACCTTTAGGCCACCTTCCCTTTTACAGTCTCTCTTTCCTATTTTTGACTTTTTGCTATAAAACACGTCCAGTAAAAACAATTTTTTAAAATAAAAATTTCATCATAAATTTCGGGTGAAACGTATTTGGTAAAAAAAAACACCCCAATCCGTTAATTAATCGGTTTACATGAAAGTTATAGTGTCTACAAATGGCGGGATAGATAATGGGATTTTTATTTATTACTTTTTTTATACTAGTAATGGTGGCGATTAGCGACTCATAGCGGGACTGCGGCGGGCATTCTGACACTGGGGGGGGCTGACTTGGTGTCACTGACATCTCCAGTGACACCAATACAGTGATCAGTGCTAATAAAAAGCACTGACTGTACTAATGGCACTGGGCAGGAAGGGGTAACATCTGGGGCCATCAAAGGGTTAACTGTGTGCTGTTTTTATTCTGGGCTGTCTCTTTCACTGTAAGCATGCTGCTTTGTGTTGTTATATACCCCCCCCTAATGTCAGGACGGTACAAATCCCCCAAAATGTCAGGAAGGTACAAATCCCCCCTAATGTCAGGACGGTACAAATCCCCCAAAATGTCAGGAAGGTACAAATCCCCCCCAGATGTCAGGACGGTACAAATCCCCCAAAATGTCAGGAAGGTACAAATCCCCCCCAGATGTCAGGACGGTACAAATCCCCTCCAATGTCAGGACAGTACAAATCCCCCAAAATGTCAGGACGGTACAAATCCCCCCAAATGTCAGGACGGTACAAATCCCCCCCAAATGTCAGGATGGTACAAATCCCCCCAAATGTCAGGATGGTACAAATCCCCAAATGTCAGGACGGTACAAATCCCCAAATGTCAGGACAGTACAAATCCCCCCAAATGTCAGGACGGTACAAATCCCCCCCAAATGTCAGGACGGTACAAATCCCCCCAAATGTCAGGACGGTACAAATCCCCCCAAATGTCAGGACAGGACAAATCCCCCCAAATGTCAGGACAGTACAAATCCCCCCCAAATGTCAGGACGGTACAAATCCCCCCAAATGTCAGGACGGTACAAATCCCCCCCAAATGTCAGGACGGTACAAATCCCCCCCAAATGTCAGGACATTACAAATCCCCCCAAATGTCAGGATTGTACAAATCCCCCCAAATGTCAGGACGGTACAAATCCCCCAAAATGTCAGGACGGTACAAATCCCCCCAAATGTCAGGACGGTACAAATACCCCCCAAATGTCAGTACGGTACAAATCTCCCCCAAATGTCAGGACGGTACAAATCCCCCCAAATGTCAGGACAGTAAGAATCCCCCCAAATGTCAGGTCAGTACAAATCCCCCAAATGTCAGGTCAGTACAATTCCCCCCAAATGTCAGGACGGTACAAATCCCCCCAAATGTCAGGACTGTACAGATATCCCCCAAATATCAGGATGGTACAAATCCCCCCAAATGTCAGGACAGTACAGATATCCCCCAAATGTCAGGACAGTACAGATATCCCCCAAATGTCAGGACAGTACAGATATCCCCCAAATATCAGGACAGTACAAATACCCCCAAGTGACCCCATTTCGCAGAGTAGACAGTCCTACTTATGGCGAGTTTTTTGAAGTAATTTTTTTTGTCATAATTTTTTGGAAAATGAAAACATAAAAAAAAAAAATATTTTCACAAATTTTTTTCCTTTTTGTCCATCCTGTCACCAGCGCCGTACAGCGTCTGCATATAACTGGTGTGGCGGTGATCAGGGACACTGACTGCTGACAGGACGAAAGAAACAAACAAAACAAAACTGATCATTTTTACCAATTTTTTAATATTATTACATTTTTTCTTTTTTTTTTTACAATTTTTCTTTTCATATTACCCTATGACCAGAGTAGTACAATGTTACAATGGGACACTGACTGCTGACAAGATGAAAAAAAAAAACATTTTATCAATTTTTTTTCAATTTTTTATTACTTTTTTTCTTTTCTTTTTAAGATTTTTTTAAATATAACACACTGTGACCAGAGTAGTATAATGTTACCATAGCAACCATAGAAACCATAGCAACCATAGTAACATTGTACTACTCTGGGGAAGTGATCAGTATTTTTTTTCACACAATATGATTGCTTATAATAAAGAATTTCTTTGCTATCAGCAAGCATTTAACTGAATAAAATCGAGTCATTCAAGTTTTATTTGTTGTGACTTGTTGTGATTGGCCACAGCTAATCACATGACACGGATGGGCTTTGATTGGCCCAGCCTGTGCGTGTGATCACTGTGACCAATCACAGCTAGACATGACTGTATACAATAGATGGCATGATAGGAAGCCTTCCATTGTTTATAATTGTCATGTGACCTCCTGTGATTGGTCACATGGTATGGGCAACGGGGCCGGTACTCAGATCTGTCATTGACCGTTTAACGAGGTACACACCCGGTGACAGATCAGGCGCCATCCGGGAAGGACGTCATATGACCCCCATCCGGATTTACGAGAATCCCTCCCGGCCAATAGGAAGATGACGGCTGGGCGGGACTCTCGTGGATCTGGGTTGGGCCTCATACGACACGGTTCATAACGCTGGTAGCGCTAGCTGTGAAAAGTCACATTAAATTTGCACGTTTTTCAGCATTTTTGCATTTGTGTTTAGCCGCATTTTTATGCGTTCGCGGTCTTTAGCGTTTTTCACCATTTTTTTTCACACACCCAAAAATTTTTGGGCCAAAAAAAAGACCAAAAACACTCGTTTGCCACGTTTTACAGCGCTTTTCTGCGTTTGCAGTTTTTAGCGTTTTGTTACCTTTTTTCAGATAAAAAAAGTCCAAAAAAACGCTGGTTTGCTGCGTTTTTCTGCGTTTTTCATTGTTTCAGTTTTTTTTAACATTTTTTCACACACCAATTTTTTTTTTTTTTTTTTGATAAAAAAAACTCCCAAAACCCCGGTTGTGCAGCGTTTTTCAGCATTTACATTATTTAGCGTTTTTTTTACCATTTTTTTCGCACAGCAAAATTTTTTTTGGATGAAAAAAAGTCCAAAAAAAAACGCTGGTTTGCCACATTTTACCGTGTATAACGGTCACACGTGGCAAATGTTTCAGTGTTTGCGGTTTTTTAGCGGTTTTTATAATTTTCACACACCAAAAAAAATTTTTTGCTTTAAAAAAACATCCAAAGACGTCGGTTTTCCACGTTTTATGGCGTTTTTTGCGTTTTTTTTCAGCGTTTGCGGTTTTTAGCATTTTTTACCATTTTTTCACGCAAAATTTTTTTCAGCACAAAATTCCAAAAACACCGGTTTGCCGCGGTTTACCACGTTTTTCAGCGTTTTTTACTGTTTGCGGTTTTTAGCTTTTTTACCATTTTTTACACACAATAATTTTGATCAGAAAAGTCCAAAAATGCTGGTTTGCAACATTTTACCGCGTTTTTCAGTGTTTGCGGTTTTTAGCGATTTTTATAAATTTTTTCACAAACCAAAAATTTTTTTCTCTAAAAAAAACGTACAAAAACACCGGTTTGCCGTGTTTTACTGTTTTTCAGCGTTTGCAGTTGTTAGTATTTTTTACCATTTTTTTTCACACACCAAAAGAATTTTTGCTCAAAAAAGTCCAAAAATGACAGTTTGCCACATTTTACCGCGTATTTCTGCATTTTTCAGCATTTGTGTTTTTGATGTTTTTTTACCATTTTTTTTACACACAAAATATTTTTTTGATCAAAAACCTCTGTTTGCTGCGTTTTTCAGCATTTATGTTTTTTAGCAGTTATTACCATTTTTTCACACAAAAAAATTTTTTGGGAAAAAAAAAAGTCCAAAAACCTCTGCTGCGTTTTTCTGCATTTGCGGTTTTTTTAGCATTTTTTACCATTTTTACACCAAAATTTTTGCTCCAAAAAACATCCAAAAACGTTGGTTTGCCACGTTTTACTGCGTTTTCTAAGTTTTTCAGAGTTTGCGTTTTTTATAATTTTTTTCACACACAAATTTTTTGTTTATTTAAAAAACACCCAAAAACTCCGGTTTGCCGCATTTTTCAGCATTTGCCTTTTTTTGTGTTTTTTTACCATTTTTTTTCACACACCAAAAATTTTTTTTGCTCCATGTTTTACTGCGTTTTTCAGCATTAGAGGATCCCCCCCCCAAGGATTCCATTTCCAGGACTGTGGGGATTTCAGGCCGATTTCCGGCGGCAGGAGGTCTGCGCTGTCGTTAGTTCGATGTTCTTCTCACAGATCCATCTGTCGCTGTATGTGTAATAATTGGCCAGTTTCCCGAAGACGATTCTCCAGTGATTGCTGGTTCTGTGAAGTGGATGCAGAGACACATGTGACCATCCGGCCATAATATGGATGTAGTTCCGGTGCGTTCCGGTTGCAGGAAAAAAAAGTAGAACCGGCTGCGTTTTTTCTGCACAGAACTGCACTGGAACGCGGTAAAAAGCATCAAAAACGCACCGGAACGCACATGTCCCTAAAGTGAAGAGAAAGAGAAGAGGGGAAAAATGAACTGGAAAGCAGCAAAAACACACCAGAAGGCGTCAAAAATGCACCGGAACTCACCAAAAAAAGGCATGCAAAAGCGCATGTGGTGCGTTTTTTATGTATTTTGCGTTTTAAATCTGCCTAGCAACAAGAAAAAATTTTTACAAATGAAAAAAATATATATATTTTTATACATTCCGGTTCATTTTTTCCAGTTTCTTTTTCTTCAATTTAAATAGAGACATGTGCGTTCCGGTGCATTTATGGTGCGTTTTATGGTGTGTTCCCAGTGCGCGTTTGATGCGTTTTGCTGCGTTCCAGTACGGTTCTGTGCAGGAAAATTTTTTTTTTGCACAAAAAAACATCCAAAAACCCCCCAATGTGCCTCATTTTTCAGCGTTTGCGGTTTTTTTTTTAGCATTTTTTACCATTTTTTTCACACACCAAAAATTTTTTTTTGCTCTAAAAAATGTCCAAAAACGCCGGTTTGCCGCGTTTTATCGCATTATTCTAGGTTTGCAGTTTTAGTGGTTTTTACCATTTTTTTCACAAACATTTTTTTTAACAAAAAAAGTCCAGAAACTCCGGTTTGCTGCGTTTTTCAGTGTTTGCGGTTTTTACCATTTTTTTTCAAACACCAAAAATGTTTTTTGCTCTAAAAAACATCCAAAAACGCAGGTTGAACGCACATGTCCTTAATTTGAAGAAAAAAGAGAGCGGAAAAAACTGGAATGCATAAAAAAAACACTGGAAGGCGTCAAAAATGCAGGACGCACCAAAACCGCGTCAAAAACGCATCCGGAGCGTATCTGGACTGCGTTTTTATAGCGTGGACCGGCCCTCGGGGACTTTTGAGAACGCAAAAAGTTGCGTTTTTGCTTCTATAGACTTCAATGGAAACGCTGCAGAAAAGCATACGGTGCGTTTTTTATGTGTTTTGCGTTTTAAATCTGCCTAGCAACATGAAAAAATTTTAAAAATGAAAAAAAAGACTTTTTTTTATACATTCCGGTTCATTTTTTCCCGTCTCTTTTTCTTTCAATTGAAATAGGGACATGTGCGGTCCGGTGCATTTTTGATGCGTTTTTGGTGCGTTCCGGTGCGTTTTACCGCGTTCCAGTACGGTTCTGTGCAGGAAAAATGCCGCCTGTTCTACTTTTTTCTGCACCGGAAACTGACTGCATTGGTGTGAACCGGGGCCATTAGAATACATGGAGAACACTGCGCAGGCATTTTTGATGCAGAAAAAAAGTAGAACCGGCTGCGTTTTTTCTGCACAGAACTGCACTGGAACGCGGTAAAACGCATCAAAAATGCACATGTCCCTAAAGTGAAGAAAAAGAGAAGAGGGGGAAAAAATGAACTGGAACGCATAAAAAACACACTGGAACTCACCAAAACATATAAAAAACGCACATGCAAAAACGCATCCGGAAGGAACGCATTTGGACTGCGTTTTTATAGTGTGAACCGGCCCTTGGGGACTTTTTTTAAAGCAAAAAGTTGCACTTTTGTTTCTATAGACTTCAATGGAAATGCTGCAGAAAAGCAAATGGTGCGTTTTTGATGGATTTTGTGTTTTAAATCTGCCTAGCAAGAAAGATTTTTAAAAATGAAAAAAAAAAAGACATTTTTTATACATTCCGGTTCATTTTTTTTCCCCTCTCTTTTTCTTCAATTGAAATAGGGACATGTGCGGTCCAGTGCATTTTTTGTGTGTTTTTGGGGGCATTCCGGTGCATTTTTGATGCATTTTTGGGAGCGTTCCAGTGCGTTTTTTGATGTGTTTTACTGTGTTACAGTACGGTTCTGTGCAGAAAAAAAATGCCACCTGTCATATTTTTTTCTGCACCAGAAACTGACTGCGTTGGCGTGAACTAGGGCCATTGGAATACATGGAGAACACTGCGCATGCATTTTCGATGCAAAAAAAAAACCGCACTGGACTGCATCTGGTGTGAACTAGCCCTCAGGGCCGCGTTTTTTTTTGCTCAAAAAAAGTCCGAAAACACAGGTGTGACATAAAAGTACAGATTTG